CCACCCCCCCTTCTTCCTTTTTTCCCCTTAAGAGCTGCCTTGTAACAAGACTGCAGAAAAGCAAACGAGTTCCTACCAGCCTGGCCACTGGGTTTCTGGCACACCGTGTACTCGGCGGAGGAGGCCCCGCAGTCGGTTTCAGGGTACGAGGGTAGCACAGGAATGGGAGGTCTGGCACCCACCACTGAGCTCCTTAAAACTTGCTGCAAAATGAGGATAAGGGAATTACATCGCAGGCTTCCTTTCTTAATCTAGCCCTTCCCTGAGGATCGTTAGTTAAGTGTTTATTGCATGGAAAAATCTAAAAAAGCCGAACTGCGTGTTCCCAGCTAACAGACCTACTGCCACGGGGACGTGCACTGCAGCACTACAGCGAAAACCTGGCGGGGGAGAGCTGCCGGCCGCGCGCCGGGCTTCCCCACTGCTGCTAACACGCCTGTGTCAGCCAGTATGAAAACTTCCATGAGTAGCTTTAGAAAGACACTGAGTTTGAGTGCTTGTATAGTCAGTGTGGGAGAACGTACGGTGTATTTGGGAGAGCCGAACAGCCTAAAGAAAGGAAACCATCTGCATTCTGAGCCGGTGCTTGCCTGGATCAAAATTCATCCACACACACAAATGTGGAATGCACCTCAGGGTGAACTGTCACCTGCCTCCAGCACTGGCCATATAATCATATTTAGGAAAAAAAAAAAAAAAAAAAAAATCATAATTATATGCAAAGCATGCACATAGCCTGGTACCCGACCTGCAAACCGGGTTGTACATGATTGTGTCTGTGAGGTTACAGGAGACCTGCCAGGAAAGACAAAAGGTGCAAGTTATTTTGAAGAACTAATGTAAAAATCCTAAGTAGTCCCATTAAAGTAATTTTAATTGCTTACAATACTAATGCTAGCTAAACAACATTTCAGCCAATTTGAATAAAAATAATGCCAAAAAGAAAATATTTGGTATTTTTTGGGCAGTGGGGGTTGATGTTAAAGCTTCGCTACTGCATGTTTCAGCTGGGAGTTCAAACTTCCCCCCAAACTCCTTTCTAGGGTCAGTGGCAGTTTTGGCTATGTTAAGGAATTAAACATGATATTCCACTGCACTAACTTAATTTTATTGTAATTTCCTATTCATTATAACTCATTAATGAAAGCACTCAGCAATCTTGAAATATAGTTCTGCACACAGCCCTGACTGATTACGCCACTGTGCTTTAAATCTAATAAACTCAGCATGGCAGAAAAACAGCCAAGCACAAAAGATGGTATGAACAAGCACTAAAGCTCGGTTGCTTTCTTCAGTTTACCAGTTTTTACCTCTAAGTTGTTACCTTGGTTCTAGGTCCTAAGGCAAAGCCCTTGTCAGCCTTCCTGTATCTGCAACTCCCTACCACATTTTTGGTGCTACGTACGTAATATGTGTATTTAATGCTGCCACACGTCTCGGGAGTCTGTCTGCTTGCGGGGGGGGCGGATGGGTGCATCGTGTTCAGTACGATGACATCAGACAGCGTTACAGCATGATTCAAAGCTGTCGTAGTCATTCACTTCATTTTCCTGCCCGAAGCAGAGTCACAGGAAGGATTTCTGCGCTGGGGAGCTGGGCTGTCATGAAATGCCTACGGGGTGTGTAACAACAGACGTGGTGGTATACGCTGCATCGCCCTGTGGGTGCATGTGTGGTCACATTCAGAAGAGTGATTTTCTGCATGAAAAGACAAAGGCAGCTCCACAGAGGAATTTAGGTGCATAAATGCCTATTAAGGGACCTAATTCCCATTCAACATAATTAAACTAAAAGCTATGTAGGTGGCTACAATTTTCTGAATATCATATTGAATAAACCCTTACTTCTTTTTTTAAAGGGCAATGAGGACTTAAGGATGGAAATTTTGGCCTCTGAAATGCCATGAATGTTAGAATAGTTTTAGATGGGCTCTGCCAGAGCCTGTGTGTTTGATGGCACATTATGAAATTACATCCATGTGATGGAAAACTGAAAGCTGAAAAAATTGAGCAAATAACAATCCAAAACCAAATCATGTGAATTCAGCAAGCTTTTTCAGCTTGTGGTATCATGAAGATTTTAATTTACTGAAAAGTATTAATTATTTAAATTTATCTTCTGAATATCATTTGATAAAATCATTTATTCAAACTGTAAATTTTAGGATTAGCATCAGCTATGGCTCACTGTGGCATCTGGTGGTGTGTTGCCACTCCGGTGGTATAGAAGCTCTTCCAGTAGGAATGCTTGCATGGATAAAGTAAAATTCATGTGATGTGGGAACTTGCTCAGTCAGCTTGGAATTCATGTTTCATTAATATTTATACTAATAAGCTTAATCGTTCCTGTTGATTGAGAAGAAAAAGGGAGATGCAAGCAATCAGAGAATAGGGGACTTATATGCAAATGTAGAAGTGTCACTTTCCAAATGATTGCTAAAGAAATCCCTTAGCGCAGCCGAGCCCAGGGCTGCAGCTCTGCACTGACCCAGCGCGCTGGCTCCAGTGCCACAGCCCCGCACGCTACTGCTCAACAGTTGCCATGCAGTTAAAAAGAAAAAAAAAAGGAAAAAAAAATCCAAACAATTAAAAAGGTGCTTCATAATAACATTTGGGGATAGTTCCTACTGTACTAACTAATTTGTAATTTAATTTTTATGTATGGGGTACTTTAGCTTTCCTTTCCTATGTGCACAAGTGGTCTTCATAACACCACCCTCTCCTAACACCCGAACTGATTGCTAGGCGTGTAGTAACCTCAGCAGACTTCTCTTCCATGAATTTGTCCGGTGTGCCTTGAGCCTGGCGTAAGCCCCTCGCACACCAAACCGCCTGTGCAGGAGCTCCGAGTCCTGCTGTGTTTCAGTGATGCCAGGGACACATCAGCTAACAGGAAGGCTGACAGCACCTTTCGCAGCTCTGGCCTTCCACTTACTGTACACAGGCCTGAGCAGAACTCCACAAAGTGTATTTATACCTCTGTGGGAGGAATACTAGGTCCATATAGCAGACAGGGCTTTATACATAATGGCAGTATCATCTTTTGAAGTTTAGTTTAATTTGAAGTATAATCACCTTGGTCAGCGTGCGCTTGATGGGAAGAGAAGAAAGGTTTAAGACTTTCTAGAGCTCTTGCAAGCAGAAAAGTAAAACGTTCCTGGCCGTGCCCATGTGCTATAGCTACACCCCTCTGACCTGGGTTTTTCAGGGTGTTGCTAACCCAGCTGGAAAAGGTGCCAGTGAGCCCGGCCCTCCCGGAGCAGGTTCTGGCTCTCCCTGCCGTCCATTGCCATCGGTGTCATTCAGGTCAATGGAAACTAGATCCCCTGAAAAAATCTTGTGGGAGGTTTTCTAATATTTTTCCGTCTTGCTGTCAGTTATAAACACGACGGACGCCTGAACTGCTGAAACAACAGCCGT